TGTTGAATAGGGCTTCCCTGGTGGCTCAGTGGAAAAGAATCTGCCTGTCAATGCAGGAGATCAAGGTTCAATCCCTGGGTCAGAAGATCCCCTGGAGAAGGAAATGGCAACCCCCATTCCAGTATTCTTGCTGGGAAATCCCATAGACAGTCATGGGATCAGAGGCGGACACAACTTGGCGACTTAACAGCAACAGCAGCAGCTGGATACTTGAAGCTGTTCTAGAATTCCTTTGTGCTTTTATTCCCCCTCCTCCATTCTGAGTAGTTCCTGTTAATATGTCATTTACTAATCTTTTCTTCTGCAATGCCTAATGCACCATTCATCCCATCTAGTGTATTTTTCAACTTGGAAATTATAGTTTTCACCTCTGTAAGCTTGATTTTGGCCTTAATACCCTACATGTTTCTAAATTTTTTGAGCATGTTAACAGTTTTACCTTTCTAATACCCTTACCTGCTAATTTTAAAATCTGTGAAAGGCTTAGGTTGGTTTCAATTGATTATTCTTTCTTATGGGTCATGTTTTCTTGCTTCTTTGCATGCCTACTGATTTTTACCTGATGACAGCCATTGTTAATTTCATCTCATAGATGTTGAGTATTTTTTTGATTTTCATAAACTTTTGAGCTTTGTTCTGGGACAGTTACTTGAGAATGGTTTGATCCTTTTGAATCTCACATTTGATTTATTGGGTGGAGCTAGAGCAGTACTAATAGGGTAATTATTCCCTATTAAGAGTCAAGGGCTACCCATTCAACTGCAGTTGCTGAGAACAGGCAGTTACCAGACCCACACGAGTCCTTCAATCCTTTCAAATGCCTTTCTCCAGTCTGCTTCCTCACATACTTATGCTGATCAGGACTGTGTTTAATTCCCGAAGTGACCATTTATAGGTATCTGGAGCTCTGTGTTGTCTCCTGGCTGGTCCTCTGCCTCATGAAATCTATCTTGGTCTTCCTAAGACACTTAGCTCCCTTTCCTTAACTCAGGGAGCCTACCTGGCTCTTCCTCTGTTCCCCTTCCTTGTTTCATGACTTGGAAGTTCCCTCAAATCAGTAAGCTGGGAAAATTGTAGGGTTCTATTTGTTTGTTTCCCAATTTTCCTCAGTCTGAGGCCTAAGGTCTTGAAGTCCACTTCTCCATGTAGTCTATTTTTTTATTTGATTCTTCCAGTAGGAACAAGCAGTCCTTGTTTTCCATCATAGCTAGAAACAGAAATTACAGCTAACTTTTAATAAACTACCACTTCTCGAGTTTTTTGAATAACATCAAAAGAGAGTATCTACAATTATATGAAAGATTTCAGTGCTGCTTTGTCTAACTATTTATCTGTGAGACATGAGACTCTTCATATATTAGCTTGGCCAAAAAGTTTGTTTGGGTTTTCCTCTAACAGCATACAGAAAAACCCGAACAAACTTTTTGGTCAACCCAGTACTTTAACCATAACAATGTATTACAACAAATTAAATGAAGAATACCACTATTCTATACAGTGGGCATCTAACCAGAAACCTTAACTTTACTACTTGGATCAAAGTTTTACTAGAAAGCTGGAGTATGCCATTACATCTTGGACTAAGCAATTAAGTTTTCCCCAGTAAATTTAAAACTAGAACACCCAGAAATTACTAAAATAGTGAAGTAAAATGAAGATATGTAAAATAGCTATACATTTTATGAATTTCTCTAAGAGGTGCATGAAAAAAGTGTATTCATATACGTACATATGTATTCATATAATCAATACCAACTCACCTCTCACATAAAGTACAGGAGTCATCTATAACAGCAATTGAGACTGGAAGAAAATTCTCCTGAGCTATATAATTAAGCTATAGAATTCTAGTGAGTGTTTTGGCACATGTGCTTGAAATGTTACAATTCTTTCCTATACATTCAGGTAATTTCCATAAACCACTGGTTTTTATGAAGTTTCCATGAATGACAGTATATTCAGTGGTTAATTTCATAATATTTGGAATTACACTGCTTGAGTTCAAACTCCAGCTCCAACATCCAACTATATGACCTTGAGAAAGTAACTTATGCTTATTTCAGTTTCCCTATTTGTAAAATGGCCTTTAAATGTAAATTTCTTAAAAGCATTCATGGTAAATAAAACATTTAGCAACTGTTATATCAATTTAGTAACTATGCCTTCTTCTCTATCCTGTTGATTTCAGTCAACGGACCTTAAAAACAAACATAAAAATCTACGTCTAATGTACTCATTTCTGAAGTCGAAAGGAAGGCATAAAGACGTAAGTTTGTTGCTTTGTTTTTGAGTCTCACAAGCAATTATGATCACTACATCCGAGCAGGAACTGAAAACTACAATCATATTCCAGATAAATTATCACTTATATGTATCAGTGTTAGGCTAAATTTAAACTGTTTCTAGAAATATATTCCAGTTCTGAAGTTTGAGGAATCAGAGCCAAAATGCTCTAAGTGTGACAAGACAGAATTTCTGCCATCAGAATCCATTTAAATTCATTCAACATTTAATAAATATCACTGAATATCAGCCACTAAATATTGGATAGAGATAAGATGCCTCTGACCTTAAGAACTTTAAATTTAGTGATAATAGAGTATAACCATATAGATAGTGTTTCCCAAGGTGTGGTACATGCATGCGTAACACTGTATGTAAGAAGCAATCCAAGTTTTCCTCGGAACAGAGTTGACTACAGCAAGAATGAATAATGACAAGACAGGCTCTCTTTGTAGATTTTCCTGCAATAATGGCATTCTTAGCATCGGTTTTTCTGCAGCCAACCCGAGATGCAAAAATAGCAGCAGAGCTCGAGATGGACTAGATAGATGGACTGATAGACCGCCAGGCCTATCAGCTGCCCCTTCCTTGTGTGAAAACAGACCTCTACAGACTGGAAAAAGCCAAGCTAGAGACACTATCTAAACAGTCCTCCATATGCTCAGTAATGGGTGCCTCAACTTCTACCATTTCCAACAATAGCTAAAGAAGAGGAATCAGTATGATAGAAAAGGAGAGGGTGAAAAGCATTCTCAGGCTTGGATTTGGTGTGCCACTCTTACAACTCCATAAGTACTCTAAGTGTGCCTTTAAAGAGAAAAGTGGTCACTTTAAAGAAACTGTTAATAGCAGCATAGGCTATATTGAGAACATAAGATTATGGAAGAGATGCAAACTAAGTGGTTTTAGAAATATTACTAGAATGCATATAGAATTGTTCTACAAGATATAAGTACCACAATGAACGGAGAAATCAATTCCAGTAAGAATGAACGTGAAAGTGAGGTCACCAGTCATGTCTGAATCTTTGAGACACTATGGACTATACAGTCCATGGAATTCTCTAGGCCAGAATACTGGAGTGGGTAGCCTTTCCCTTCTCTAGGGATCTTCCCAAACCAGGGATTAAATCCAGGTGGATTTAATCCAAGCATTGCAGGTGGATTCTTTACCAGCCGAGCCACGAGGGAAATAAAGATGGTAGGGTACAAGTGTCAAAGAAACGGAAACTTACTGGGCCGAGTTTTCACAACTGGACAGAATAGGCTAAAGGCATTCGAGAGAATTAAGTGGTGGGTGGGAGGAGTGTAAATAAACAAAAGCAGAGATAGATACCAAAGGATAGTAAGAACACAGTGAAGTTATTTTAGAAAAAGGTAAGATTCTCAGCTCTTCATTCTCATAGAATAATTACCTGTATTTATGTTCTTTCTAATAAGACTCTTAGACAAAAAATACACATTACCTAGAATGTGTTATATATGAAAATACAATTTAAAAAATGAAGTATCTCTGTACAGGTCAAAATAATGGTGAACACCCTCACAGGTATGTCACACCTGTAACTTTTGTCACATCTCCTAAAGCCATTTGGGATAAACAAAGCATTCTTACCATCCTTATGCCCTCATCTTAGACTGTTTTTACTTCTGGCTTAGAAAATCTCAGACAAAAACAGGTAATAGAGGAGAATAAGCAAAGTCAGTGAATTAATCAAGGGAAAATTACATAATTATAGGAAAATTGAAGAGATTTTTATATCCTGATTCTTTAATATAAGAAACAATCAGCATTATCATCAGTCTCTTAATATATTTTACTTTTAGTTTTATACTACAATTAATGCTCTCACAAACAAGGTATTTTATGTACTAATTAATACTCTGAAGCAAATGATACCATTTGACTAAGTATTCATTAGAATGAAACCTTTTTATTTTTTTTAGAATGAAACCTTTTTAATCCAAGCACGAACTTGCCTGTGACTTTCAGAATAAGAGTATTCATCTCTCACCTATACAATGAAATTAGACCAGGTGATCTCTGAAGTTTCTGATAGTTCTAAATGTTAATGATGCTACACTACTTATATAGCCAATCCACATTCTTTTTTCTAAAGTTCTTAAATCAGGATCTTCCCTAAAAATGGTATGAAGTTTCCAAAATGCATTACATTTTAGACAATTTTAAATTCACATCTATTACAGACTAGGAATTGAAGAGTAATTTCTTACAAATAAAGTGAAGTCCTTTATTTCCTACCATCCATGTTCCTAAGAATATGAAAGTACTAATTAAAATTCAGAAATGTATAAAAACTTACAGTTACTGAAAACAACAACAAAAAATTCTATTAACTTAGTAGGCTTAAGTTTTGTATTAGGAAAACACTTATTAACAATAAAAAATTAAGGAGTCTTGGGATGACTCTTTGTAATCACAGTATTTAAAAACAAAACTACTTTCCTCTGCATAATTCTACTACATAACTGCTAACTTTCCTCAACTTCCAAAACTTACAAGCAATTAACTTCAATATACATCTCCAAGGAAAGGTTTCATCGACCACGTAAACACTGATTTATTAAATACAGTAGAAGTCCATGCTTTATAACTCAGCATTAAATTTCTCATGGAGAAATCAAGAAAAACATTTCCTATCATAGATAGTTATCAACTGTCTTTGTTATCTCCCAAGTAACATTTCATTAAAGAAATCAAGTTAAGTGGGAGCTGTCTTTCTTTACAGATGATGCCTGAGCTTTGGCCATTCTTCGAACCAGCGCTGCTTGTCTTTTTCTCTGAATTTCTTCCGGAGAATACTTTCTATTTTTCTCTTCTTCTTCTAAAACTGAAACCAAATATAGATATTAGTTTCAAAGACTATAAAATCATTCTGAATGAGTTTAATTTTTACTGTCTCATTACCCAGATCTGCCACACTGGTCTTGTTACTGGGCCTCCCTGGTGACTCAGACGGTAAAGAATCTGTCTTTGGTTTTGTTACTCAACCATGTTGCTGCCGTTTAGTTGCTAAGTCCTGTGGGACTCTTGTGACCCCATGGACTGTAGCCTGTCAGGCTCTGTCTATGGGGTTTCCCAGCAAGAATACTGGAGTGGGTTGCTATTTACTTCTCCAGGGGATTTTCCTGACCCAGGGACTAAGCCTGCATCTCTTGTGTCTCTAGCATTGGCAGGATTCTTTACCACATAGCCATCAGGGGGGGCCCATCCTAAACTATTAAGTATAAGACTACAAATGCAGATGCAGTACAAGGCTCCAGGCCAAAATGAAATCAAGGACTGATCAATCTGTTTGATGTACTCTTCTCACAGGGTGATAAAATTGATTAAAAACTCTACATTTTGACTACCCAGCAAATAATTCTTATGAACAATGACACCTAACTTATATAACCAATAAATGAATACATTTTAAAAACAAATTGGAATTTTAAATGTTATATAGATTATAATAGAAAAGTAGTCAAAATAAAATGAATTAGATATTAATAATACTTCAAGTAGTATATTTTTACTGTAAGATAACTGATGTTAATATTCCTACTCCTACATTTTTTTCCTCTATAGATCTCCAAGATTTTTATTTCAGCTGTTTAGGAAAAATACTTTGGAGTAATAGAGTGAAACCTATCATGTCAATAAACATAAAATTCACTGTCAAATATTGCATTTTTAGATGGAGGATATATTTTCTATAAACATTGGAAAATTATTTCAAGGAGCAGGATGTCTGCATAAAATTTTCAATGTGAAATCTTTTTACAAAATGTGAAGCATTCTGATATATTTTTATGCAACATACTTTAGTGTATACTTCAAATAAACATACTATGAAATGAACAATGTGTCTTAAATTTAACAAAACCAATTCTGCCTCTACCAAAATTCTGAGTTCTAATAAAATGAATTCCACAGTTAAGTCACTCTGAGCTAAAATATTAGATTATCTATGTAAAGCTACTAAGAATCAGACTTCAAAATTTTAGCCAACATTTTTTCATTTAATGTTCTAAAATCAAGACCATCATCCAAATACATATTAAAGTGACTGTGTATTGGTAAAACTGTGTATGCTGTAAAATTTACCCTCTAAAGAAGTAAATAAAAATCAGTAGTACTGTTAACAAGAGAAATAATATCTACAATGACATCTACAGAGATTCAGAATATAGTTGCTGTAAGACATTTCTCTTGTTAATCAAGGTAGATATTTACCCAAAGTATATCATCACTCTCTCCTTCCATCCCCAGTATAATCAGAAATGGGAGAGGGTGCTCAGAGTAAGAGATATATATCTCAAACTTCCCAGGTGATTCTGTTGCCTTTTGCTCTCTAAATCAATTATCTTACAGAATGCAGCTATTTTTTCTTATAGAATGATATAACATACTTTTAAATTAGTTTGACTAATTTCTTATTTTAGTCTGAAAGCTGAGAAACACAAGAAATTCAGAACACACACACACAATTTACATTCAGTTGACTATAAATTTAGAAGGAAAATAGGTTAACAATCCATGGCAGAATAGAACATAGCTCCCTAAAACTGGTACCTCCGTTGGTTATGTGGTATTCTACAAATTAATTTCAAAAGATACAATAAAGTCACATAGGGAAAATTTGATTTTGGAAGAATAAAAATGCATAGCAAGGAATCCAACTATTGGCAAGGAACAAAACAAAAATGGCTCTTTCAAATCTTAATCCTGAAGCAGGGGTCAAACACTTTTTTTTCCCAGTTGTTGTCTAGTCACTAAGCCGAGTCTGACTCTTGCAACACTGTGGACTGTAATCTTCCAGGATCCTCTATCCATGGGATTTCCCAGGCAAGAATACTGGACTGTGTTGCCAGTTCCTTTTTCAGGGGATCTTCCCAACCCAAGGATCCAACCTGTGTCTCCTGCATTGGCAGGCAGATTCTTTATCACTGAGCCACCAGAGAAGTACTTCTTTTCAGTAAAAGACCCAAAAATCTGTTAACCTTTAAGAGGCACAGGAACTCCTGTGGCAGCTACTCAGCTCTGTCACTGCAGCATGAAAACAGCCATGGACAACTCTGTAAATAAATGGTGCGGCTGTGTTCGAATAAAACTGTGTTTACGGACAATGAAACAGGAGTTCCACATAGTTTTCAAAAGGTATTAAGTATTATTGTTCTTTTGATTTTTTCAACCATATAAAAAGTGAAAATCACCTTAATATGCTGGCTGTACAAAAAAAAGGCTATACAGGCTGGATTTGGACAGGCCAAAATTAGCCAAATCTAGCTTAAAACAATGAGGTAGTTAGAAGCTCCCCCACTGCCCCAAAGGTATTTGCTGCAGAGCAGCTTGATACACCAAAGTAAAAGGAAATGGAAACAACAGAAAATGTCAACAAGGTTAATGTTAACTAGAATATTAGGTACTATCAATAAACTTAACAGAAAAACTATAAAGTAAACTGAAAGACTCTACCCATTAAAAAAAAAAATGCTGATAAGATAGTAGACAAGAGTTTTGGAGAAACTCACATATTCCAGAGACTAGTCTTTAATGGAATTACAACTATAATTAAGTAAATTCACACTGGAAGAATGACTCAATTAACTGTACTTACTTAAATATAAACTTAAATATTTGAAACTACTATAAACTGACAACAATTTTAAAGTTTCAAAATATCTAGTTTGGGTGATAATGTAGCATATTCATTGTCAGTATTGATAAAAGTATAAATTGATGTAATTAGGGGTAAGATTTAAAAATCTCCATCAACATTTAAAATATTCTGAATCTTGTATCAATTTTCAAACAGATACAATCTCATGAGCATGTGCAAATTTATGCAGAATATTCACTGGCAGACTGGACTGCTTGTAATGCAAAAAACTGCAATCAAACTAAACCTCCATCAATAGAAAAACATAAATTATGGTATCATTCACACAACTACATACTATGCAGAGATTCAAAGGACTAAAGCAAATCTCTATGGACTATCAGGAAAAAGACAGTTACATTAAATGAAAGCAAAATCAAGCTGCCAAATAGTCTTTGCATATAATTATATCTATTTAAATAAATGTATATATAGATACACACCACCCTTCACCCCTGCCTTTATATACTTGCAGAAAATGTTATTAACAGGGGCTTTCCCTCAAAAATCTTTGGAGAAAAGGAGAAATAGAGGACTTACCTTTTTATGTCAAATTAACCTACACTCTTTATTTTTAAACAATTACCTATTACTGCTGCAAATTTTTTAAAAGTGAGGGATCACTTAACAGGAAAGTTGTAGTGATAATGCCAACAAAAGCATCATTTAGAATCTAAACAGAAAACAATCTAATATTAAAAGAAACTAAAAACTCCATTACCATATTAACATTGATCTACATAATAGGTAAAATTCCTAAAGTCAGCCTCAAGTGAGGGAGACTGATTAAAAAAATCAATAATTACAAGCCAGCATAGTAAATGGTGTAAAACAAGTTAGCATGGGCTACTGGCAAAACTGAGAAAGCGAACCAAAATCATTCTGAGTAGTTAGAAATACACTGTGTTTAAGAGATAAATGGAAACCAGCTAGTAGATCTGGTATATGCATGTGGGCGTACAAGGTTTCTGTTGAAGAGCACCAGGCATTAAGAAACACAGACAGTTATGCCAGAAATATTCCCTTTTAAAAATTATTACAGTATCAGTGAATGACAGACTTTTCAGATTATATTGTATAATGTTCACTCAAATATTTACTAAACATCTTCTAAATTGCAGCTGCTATGGTAGGCCTAGGTTCACTGATGAGACAGATGGTAATCAATATCCGATTGCAAACTGTGACAAAAGAAATTAAGGAAATAAAAGAGAGATGACTGAAAACAACAGGAAAGCATTTATAGACTGTTGAAGGCAGCAGGGTTAGCTGGGAATAGCAAAGTTCCTGAACTAGAGAAGAACCTATTCTGTTTGAGGAACTCAAATACAGCTGGTGTAGCTGAAGTCTAGTAGGTAAGGCAAGAAAAAAAGAGAACAGGCAGGTTAAAGAGACAGTCCAGGCTTGCAGATCAGGGTGTAAATTAAGATTTTATTTGAAGTATGATGAGCAGTGCCTGAAGGCTGTCTTCAAGCAGAGGAATGCCAAATACGCCTACTTGCTTTTTATTTTTTTTCACCTTGTTTTAAAAGATGATTCTGCTGTTTGGAGACTAGAAATGGGAGGGAACAGGTAGAACTGCAGCAGTCCAGTCAGGAAATGTTGGCTTGCATAAGGGTGGTACAGCAGAGAGTGAGAAAAATGGACAGTTTTGAGATACATTTTTTGAAGTAAAAACAATGGAACTTGAGAGATAGAAAGGAGAATTGGGGGAAAGAAAAACTGGAAAGAATCAAAGATGATAAGATGTACTAAATAAGTAAATAACAACTCTAACCATCCTAACTAACAGTTTTATATCAGATAGTATTCTAGCAAAGGCATTTAATTAGAATGCTCTAAACCTTCACATATTGTTCTGCTAAAAATAGACAATTACTCAAATTTTAAAACAGTGAGGTATTTCAGTGAACACAAGGAATCTCATACAGTAATACATATATGCATAAGTAAAATTTTCCAGGAAATAATTCAGAAAAGACTCAACACATACGTATTGATTGGCAACTATAATAGTCACTGTATTAGATGTTGGCCAAGAATTCAATGCAGTCTTTTAAAATCACAAACCACCCAGTGTTTGTATATTCCAGCATCATTATTTGTTAAGAATCACTTTAAGACTTCTAGTTAATCATCGCAGAATAGTCTTTAACATATGTCACGATTTTCAATACAACAATGAACTAGTCTGGCTATTTTTCAAAGAACACTATTTCATACATACCTTTTGAAGGCTGTCTCAAAGGTTCAGAAAATTTCACTGAAGACTGCTGTTGAACAGCCTTCCCAGATAATGGGTTGACAGCTTTATTTTTCTCCAAACCCTGTGTGATGCTGGTATCAGAAGTACTTTCTGTTACATAACTGTTATTAAACGGGGAAAGCATCGGACAATTTTTCATCCTTTCAAGCATATACCTAGACAATCTAGCTGCTCTGTTAAACTTTCTCTGAGTTTCACCTGTTATGGTGCTACTGGATAGATGTAGGGTACTCAATCTCTTCTTAGAAGCAGCAATTTCTGTACTCATATGATGTGAACTCACATTCAAACCTGAACTTTCTGTAAGAACCGATTTAGAACTATTCACTTGTTTTGGTACATCAGTGTTGTTCCAAGAGACATGCAGATTATTGATCTGACAGTCTAAGTTCTTAGAGTATATACTCAAATTTGTCGTGGCACCTAAAAAACCCGGAGAATTTCCATACATTTCCCTCTCCATCTTCACTGATTTATTTATTTGTAAGCTATTTGTCAATGAAGATGTCTGTGCTGAAATGCTGTCCAGATTCAGGAGCTCTGACTGCATCAATTGACTTCCTTGTTTAGGTGTAGTAAACATGTTTTTGGCTCCATGTTTAGAACTATTATTGATCCCAAGTACACTTTCTGATGTCTTGCTGTCGACTCCAATATCTTGCTCCTGAGTTAGTCTTTCAATATCATCACATGCCTGGTATAATATATCATCATCTACATCATCTGCTTCCCAGCTACTCTCTAACTGATAACACGCTTTAACAATTTCATTGGTAAATGATGGATCATTCCAATCATCAAAGAAAGAACCTAACTTTGATCCATCAGTCTGATTTGCGTTACAAACGCTGGTTGTATTGTCCAAAGTTGTTGAGCTGAAAGGCTGGACATTAGCAGGCACTTTCAAAGACTGATTAAAAATGAACTTATTAGAACATCCTGGTTTCAAAGCAGATTTCTTTTCAGAAGCATTTACTTTAGAATTAAATTTAGTATGAGTATTTTCATTTACTTTTGCCAGATTAGATGCAACAGCAGAGTCTTGAATTTTGTCTTGATCAACTATATTCAAAGATTTATCCAATTTCATTTTATTTCCAGTGGCTGATAATTTATTTGGTTTATCATTTGGCTTTGGTGAAAATCTATATTTTTCAGCATCTGTTAATTCACTGTTCCATGTATTTGAAGGAAGACCTTGTAAACTTTTTGAATCTTTTAACTTGGCATCTAGATTTGTATTCATTCCTGACTTACTTTTATCCTCTTTACTGTTAAAGGAACAAATTTCCTTGTGATCAGCAATTTGGACTGTTTTAGGAGCAGGGAACAGCTCAGACATTTCAATATTCTGCATAACAAAAGGTTCATTACTTAGTAAGTTTTCCCAATCATCCTCAAAATCACTGGTAGTAAAAGTATCCATGTGCTTATTAAAAGTTCCTGGTTCCTTAGTACAGAAAGTCACATATGATTTTGTCATTCCAGGATTATCGACTTGATGAGAAAGTGATCCTAGGGTTTTACTTGGCAGATTTTCAGCGACCACAGTTTCATTAGTAATGATTTTCTCCTCTTTCAAAGTGTTTTTCTTTCCAAAGGTAGTATTACTGGTTTTCAAGAAAGCATCTGACAAATCTTGGCTTAACTGTCCACTACACTTCTGAGTAGAACCATCAAACATGGCAATAAAGGCTGCTTCAGCATTTTGGTCAAATGGCTTCTGACTGCTGGTTTGATCATTTACCACAGATATCTTGGTGTTCTCTTTCACTGGCTTCTTTATTATAGCCTTATCTATTTCAGGAACTATATCACACAGTAACTGCATCTGTACACCATCTCTGTAATTATGTGAAGTCTCTGCTTCTGAAATCATCTGGATAAGATCATGATCTCTCTTGTCTTGCTCTTGAATCACATCCAGCTCTTCCATATTTTTATCAAATTGCTTAGCTAATTTCATAAGTTCTTCCTCTTGATTTTGTGATTTTAACCTATTAAAACAAATATTTCAAAAATTATGTAGATATTCTAGTCTAAGAAGTCATACTCAACTGTTATTTAACATATTTTAAAACTCACAAATTTTAACACATCCTGACATTATAAATAAGTTCAAAACTTTACATGTCAAAGTTAAGGATACTAATTTATAACCATTTTGACATACACACAAAGCCAAATACTAAAATACACACAAAACACAAATACACACAAAACAGAATACTAAAAATATTTACTTCACTGAATGTCAGAAAAAACTGAAAAGTTTAAACTTACTTTGTGCAGCTGAGTTTTGCTCTTGATTTTCCTTTTGCTACACTAGGAGTGCAAGGAATAGCAGTGTCACCAATCCACATGCCCAGCATGGAGTCTGTTGTTGGTTTCTCATCCTTTGGCAGAAGGGCAAAAAAAAAAAAAAAAAAAAGAGATGTGAAAGTATAAAAACAACTAACCAAAACAAAACCCACTTTAATTATGTAGAATTATTTTATTAAAGGAATAAATTCTGGTAAGGTGACAGCAACTAAACAAACTTCAAAACAATGAAAAGCTGGAGGATGGCAATAACAAGTTGCAAGAAGTGATCTACACTTGCTTTAGGGAATGAAAACACTAAAAAAAAAGTTTTTAAGAATTTAATTAGAAATGCACATTAGTTGCTCAGTCATGTCTGGCTCTTTGTGACCCCATGGACTGTAGCCTGCCACACTCCTCTGTCCATGGAATTTTCCAGGCAAAAACACTGGAGTGGATAGCCATTCCCTTCTTCAGGGGACCTTCCTGACCCAGGGATCAAGCCCAGGTCTCCTGCATTGATTGCGGGCAGATTCTTTACCATCTGAGCCACTGTGGAAGCCACTGCAGAACAGAAATACATATTCAATAATAAAAGTACATATTTTTATCACAAGAAAACTGATCAACTTATTTCAGTTGTCATAAGATATTGATAAAAATAAACATTAGTACTAGAAACTGTGCAGCAGAAATTATTAGAATTAGGAATAAGAGAGATAAATATGGAGTTCTTTCTGTATTACCTCAACCTCAAAATTTTCCCTATTGCCATTATAATGTTTAGCTAAGCTGGACAATCCATGTTGACGTGAATTGACAACACTTAGATAGAACTAAGAAAATTTAGCATTAAGTCAGGACCAAGTTAGAGATAATGGCAAGATTAGAACTGATGCTGTGAATGAGGTAGGGAGAAAAACAAAATTAAGTAGAGAAAGTGGGTAAAGAAGTTTTAACCAGTATTAAGGCTAGAAAAAAGCCATTTTAGTCCTATATGTTTCTTTTATACCTTTTAGTCACTTGATCATGCACAAAATTAGAGAATGAATTTATGTATTAGTTACAAACCAAACTAACAAATTAAACAAGTTAATCATTTTCTACTCTGTTTTTATAGTACCTGGAATGAATATAAACAAGCAAATGTCACACAAAATAATCACTAGATTACAGATTACTTGAAGGCAAGGACAGTTCCTATGATGACTAAGCATCTAGCAAAATGCTGAGCATAAACATGTCAATTCATGTTTATACACTAGAAAGTTAGGTGATAAGCTGCCTACAACTTGGTACTTCAAAATCATCAATCAATCAAAAAGTAGTTTCCTTAGATGTCCAATTGAATCTAGCAGTTTTCAGCTTTGCAAATACTCAAGAAAAGCAATAATTTTGATTTTAGACTCAATATATAGCTTCCCTTTTGTTTCAACAATCTTGAATTTGGGAAGATAACATTCTTAATGATTTAATTATGGATTTTTTTGGGTCCATCTACCAAGTAATTTTAAATTCACTCCATTTTTAGAGATTAAAAGTATAGTAACTTTATATATCCAGTTATATAAATAGATGGGTCCTATATATGGTTTTTATATTATTTGTAAATGTTACATTTTAAAAAATTCCTCATTAATAATTACACAGTACAATCCAATGCTGTAAAATGCATCTAACACATTCGTTCATTTAATTCTAGAGTATACAGTGCAGAGTTGTATAAAAATGATGGAAAAATATAGAACATCTTCAAACAAACAACACTGTATGAAAAGTATCCCTGAAGAAAGTAAAATGACTGATCAATTAGAATAAAATAATGCAAATTTTAACAAATGTCATCTCTGGAATTATTGCTGTTTGTTGTTTAGTCCCCGAGTTGTGTCCAGCTCTTTGTGACTCAATGGACTGCAGCCCACCTGGCTCCCCTGTCCGTGGGATTTCCCAGGCAAGGAAATGGAGTTGGTTGCCATTTCCTACTCCACAGGATATTCCCAACCCAGGGATTGAATCCATGTCTCCTGAATTGGCAGGTGGATTCTTTACCACTGAGCCACCAGGAGCCCCATCAATTAAAGTAAAAGTGAAAATTTTAAAATATATCTCCGGAACTATCAAGGTAATTTAAATAATTATTTAAAGAGGGTAACTCACCTATGCCATTCTGGAACATGAAAAGTTCCTAAACAGACCTTGATATTACTAAAGATTTATATGCTTTAAAAGTGCTCACTTGAAAGGGGTAACATTTAAAAGCAACTAGTTTAACTGTATTTTTTCTTATACACAAGTTATCACTTGCATACTGCTGCCATTTCTTTTATGTGAGCAATTATTTCCAGCCCACTTAAGTAAAGAGTCCAATAATTTACTTACCTTTTTATCACTATTTAGGCTGACCAGCCCAAACACATTTTATTATGCTTCTTTCATGTAAAATCAACAATTTAATGAAGATCTATTGTTAACTTATGTAGCAAGTAATATATGGCATAAATACTATTTAACTAATGAACTCTATGTAAAATGTATTTCTATGACATGCCAAAGATGGAAAGTAGAGCTAGTAGTAACAGAGCTCTTTTGACTGTGGTAGTTGTAATTTTGGATGTTTTATAGCCACTAAGAAAAACTTTATTTCCTGTCTCCTCCACCTGTATGATGGTGATCCTTGTAAACAGTTTGGGCCAGTGCCATGTATTGTTTACAGTCAACATACAGTCACTATCTGAGGCCACATCAAGGAAAATACCATACTTCCTGTGAAGACACTAAACAAAATTTGGATGTTTTCTGGATTTAAATGTTGCTAAATAAGAAAAAAAAGAAAGAGATCCAGAGCAGAGAGTGACCTATTACTCAAGCATCACAAGAGCTGAAATAAAGAAGAAACTTTTGAACACAGTTCTTTTACAACAAATAATTTAACTATAATATGTAATTTTAATATACCTAATACTTATAGTAGTCTATAGTTTACAAACAATTTTAATCTAATTCAATCATCACAATAATACAAGAAAGAGAGCAAGACAAGTAATAATTCTATTTTAACAACTAAATGAACTAAAGTTTGGATAGTTTAAATGACTTGCTTGTATATGTGTGTATGCTCAGTCAAGTCCAACTCTTTTGAGACCTCATGGACAGTAGCCACCAGGCTCCTATGTCCGTGGAATTTTCAAGGCAAAAATATAGGAGGGGGTTGTCATTTCCCACTCCAGGGGATCTTCCTGACTCAGGGACTGAACCCATGTCTCCTGCATCTCTTGCACTGGCAAAAAGTTTCTTTACCACTGTGCCACCTAAGCAAGTGACTTGCTTAGGGGCTGCCACAGAAGGCAGACTTAGTACTAAATCCAAATCCAGTTTTTTTCCTGGAGTAACAGGCAAATTTGGCCTGGGAGTACAGAATGAATCAGGGCAAAGGCTAATAGAGTTTTGCCAAGAGAATGCACTGGTCATAGCAAACATCCTCTTCCAACAACACAAGACTCCACACATGGACATCACCAGATGGTCAACACCAAAATCAGACTGATTATATTCTTTGCAGCCAAAGATGGAGAAGCTCTATACAGTCAGCAAAAACAAAACTGGGAGCTGACTGTGGCTCAGATCATGAACTCCTTATTGCCAAATTCAGACTTAAAATTGAAGAAAGTAGGGAAAACCACTAGACCATTCAGGTATGATCTAAATCAAATCCCTTATGATTATACAGTGGAAGTGAGAAATAGATTTAAGGGACTAGATCTGACAGAGTGCCTGATGAACTATGGATGAGGTTTGTGACACTGTACGGGAGACAGAGATCAAGACCATCCCTAAGAAAAAGAAATGCAAAAGAGCAAAATGGTTGTCTGAGGAAGCCTTACAAATAGCTGTGAAAAGAAGTGAAGCGAAAAGCAAAGGAGAAAAGGAAAGATATTCCCATTTGAATGCAGAGTTCCAAAGAATAGCAAGGAGAGTTAAGAAAGCCTTCCTCAGCGATCAATGCAAAGAAATAGAGGGAAACAACAGAATGGGAAAGACTAGAGATCTCTTCAAGAAAATGAGATACCAAGGGAACATTTCATGTAAAGATGGGTTCGATAAAGGATAGAAATGGTATGGACCTAACAGAAGCAGAAGATATTTAATAAGAGGTGGCAAGAATACACAGAAGAACTGTAAGAAAAAGATCTTCACGACCCAGATAATCACGATGGTGTTATCTCTCACCGAGAGCCAGACATCCTGGAATGTGAAGTCAAGTGGGCCGTAGAAAGCATCACTACGAACAAAGCTAGTGGAGGTGATGGAATTCTCATTGAGCTATTTCAAATCCTGAAAGATGATGCTGTGAAAAGTGCTACACTCAATAACCCAACAAATTTGGAAAACTCAGCAGTGGCCACAGGACTGGAAAAGGTCAGTTTTCATTCCAATCCCTAAGAAAGGCAATGCCAAAGAATGCTCAAACTACTGCACAGTTGCACTCATCTCACATGCTAGTAAAGTAATGCTCAAAATACACCAAGCTAGGTTTTAGCAATACGTGAACTGTGAACTTCTAGATGTTCAAGCTGGTTTTAGAAAAAGCAGAGGAACCAGAGATCAAATTGCCAACATCTGCTGGATCATCAAAAAAGCAAGAGAGTTCCAGAAAAACATCTATTTCTGCTTTATTGACTATGCCAAAGCCTTTGACGGGGTGGATCACAATAAACTATGGAAAATTCTGAAAGAGATGGGAATACCAGACCACCTGGCTTGCCTCTTGAGAATCCTAATCCTATATGCATGTCAGGAAGCAACAGTTAAGTAATGGACATGGAACAACAGACTGGTTCCAAATCAGAAAAGGAGTAAATCAAGGCTGTATATTGTCACCCTGCTTATTTAACTTCTATGCAGAGTACATCATGAGAAACACTGGGCTGGAAGAAGCACAAGCTAGAATCAAGATTGCCGGGAGAAATATCAATAACCTTAGATATGCAGATGACACCACACTTCTGGTAGAAAGTGAAGGGGAACTAAAAAGCCTCTTGATGAAAGTGAAAGAGGAGAGTGAGAAAGTTGGCTTAAAGCTCAACATTCAGAAAACTAAGATCATGGCATCTGGTCCCACCACTTCATGGGAAATAGACGGAGAAACAGTGGAAACAGTGGTTGACCATTTTTCTGGGCTCTAAAATCACTGCAGATGGTGATTGCAGCCATATTAAAAGACGCTTAATCCTTGGAAATAAAGTTATGACCAACTTAGATAGCATATTAAAAACCAGAGACGTTACTTTGTCAACAAAGGTCCGTCTAGTCAAGGCTACCGTTTTTCCAGTGGTCATGTATGGATGTGAGAGTTGGACTATAAAGAAAGCTGAGCGCCAAAGAACTGATGCTTTTGAACTGTGGTGTTGGAGAAGACTCTTGAGAGTCCCTTGGACTGCAAGGAGATCCAACCAGTCCATTAAAGGAGATCAGTCCTGGGTGTTCATTGGAAAGACTGATGCTGAAGCGGAAATTCCAACTTTTGCCACCTCATATGAAGAGTTGACTGATTGGAAAAGACCTTGATGCTGGGAGGGACTGGGGGCAGGAGAAGGGGACGACAGAGGATGAGATGGCTGGATGGCATCACCGACTCGATGGACATGAGTTTGAGTAAACTCCGGGAGTTGGTGATGGACAGAGAGGCCTGGCGTGCTGCGATTCATGGGGTCGAAAGAGTCGGACATGACTGAGTGACTGAACTGAACTGAACTGAATGTTTCCTGATGATATTTTAAGTTAACAAGTATTAAGAAAGGGAGTTTCAACTGGGAAAAGACTACTACAGACAGTTAAAATAATAATAATAAAAGATTTTGAAGTTTAAATTTTTATTGTCTGATTGTATTCTCTTATTAACATGAAAAATAATAACCATATATTATGAAATGACATTAAAAACAAAATAAAAACAAGGCTCTAGTTAAAAATCATTTCTAAAAAATAATATATATGCTTAGGAAAATATATGTTTGCAACTTTACATTATGTTCCTTTTTTCAAAACTGCATCTCAGTGGTAGAAAAGGTGAAAGTAATCTGTGTTGCTCTGTTTTTGGAGAAGAGAATTGAATAAGACAAGATATTTTTCACATAAATGAACATATAAACAAATGTTTATATGTTCATTTATATGTTATATGTTCATTTATATATGTTTATATGAAACATATGCCATATGTTTCACTGTTCTGTAATACACTATAAAATTACTCATATTTACCTGAGGAGCAATACGATTAACAATATGTGAGATCTCATCACTATCTGTGGTGTAAAGCTGCTTTTTTCTTCCTTTACCTATAGAAACAAAGAAATTCATATAAATTATAAACAAAAATGTAATTTCTAAAAATATCAGTCACTTCTTAGAAAACAATTAGCATGGTTTAGATCACTAAGCACTCTGACATCACATGCCTATCACAGCAACAAAATCACAGATTTTGGAAAAACATCGGCTGTATAAAAGTTCCTGATGTGAACACCTGACTGAAATTCTAAGGTTAAACCCTAATCATTAATCAAATATTCACCCATATAAAACTGTTAATGACAAATTACCTAGCTGTTTTGTCATTGGAGAATTTTGATCCCAAAAGATATCATTCTGTCCATCTGGATCATTAGGAGAACTGAAGGCAGATGACAATAAATCCATTTGCAGCATTCTCTTTGGTGTCTCATATCTTTCTATATAAAATAAGATCAAAATAACGATTATTGCATTCTAAAGGATTACTTGACTTCATAACACCCCAATGTTAAATACCTCAGCTAAATTACATTTTATGTTCCAATTATAAAATTTTCTCCCAGTGATGACTGTATTACTTTATCCACAACTGAAACATTTGTCTCACATAAAAATCCCAGTAGTACTTTACAAACTTGACATTGTAAATAGTTAAGTACAATCTAATAGTTCTAATAGTTCTATAAATGGACAATACTGTATAAGCTAGCCACTACACTGGAACTCGGGAGTCTTGTGGAACCACCTGTAATTAATAAATACATTTCAAAAATGAACAACTGTTTCAACAGAAACTTCAGAAAAATACATTTCAAAAATCAGAAACGTTTCAACAGAAACTTCAGAAAAAGTCTGTGTTTAGCCTCCTTTGGCCAACCATACCCAACCAATTACTTCAAAAAACTACAGTTAGCCATTTCTTAGTTAAGTTCTGTCAAGTACCACTTTTTGTTTATTCTGCAATTGTTTTGTCAAAGTAAACTACAAACAAGATAAAAAGCTCTTTTAAGAACATGCTCTAGAAAACAACTCTTATGAATTTCAATTCCTACCAGCATTCATCAGAAATCTTTTTAAAAAATGAAACACCAAAAAGTGATCAGAATGATATACTTAGGGGCCCATAGTTTCCTACTTTGAGGAACTTTATACAAAGGAACTTCCGGTTTATTCAAAAGGTAAAGCATCACCAAGATCTTGAGAATACAGGTAACTGTATTTCATATGTCCCCTTCACTAAAATCTGGTCAAGGCAAACAGTTTAAGGTGAAATCATCCCTCTAGGCATAACCTGAAGGCAAAAGGTATTATTTCTCCTCGCTCCGCCACTGCTGATGCCTGGGGAAGCAGCCTAGAAATCAGCGTTCCTCCCTGAGGTAAACCCCACAACTTAATTCCTGTGGCAGGGGCGATAAGTGGTGGTCAAGCCTAACTGGGCAGTGCTCATACTCGGGGATGAAAGTCGTGGGGAAGTATAGACTGGTTAATTTTGAACTCTTGAGGGAGAAGCCCAGGCAAAGAAAACACGATTTCAGCCTCCACCCCCACCCGGGGCTCTGAAGCTGAGGCGCTGAGGCCCAGGGAGGCCCCCACTGCCCATGTCTCACCCTCGGGATTACTTTTACTGCACGAAGCGGCTACTGGAGGCTGCTCTTGCTGAGGCAAGGGCCGGGGAGCCCTCTCTCCTGGCCCTTGAGGTCCCGAGCCGCGGGCCGCCCTCAGCCTCCTCTTTCCCGAGTCAACCACCGAACGGCATTCTTCAGTCGCTATCCCTTTGCGCGGCGTTTGCTTCAGGCCAGGGCTGTCCCCGTGTTTCCTTCGCCGACTCATGGCCCAGAACCCCCTCCACGGCAGCGTTTCCTTTCACATTTTGCAACGGGAGCAGCAGAGCAATAGAACTAAAAGCGGGACGCCAAGCCAACGGCCGCCACCATTTTGGTCTGAGGAACGCTCGTAAGAGGAGGGCGCTGATTGGCTGCGTCGGGACGAGGGGCGGGGCTACCAAGGTGCGGAGGCGCGCTTCCGCATCCCGCGTCCGAGCCTGTTCTGTTCTGCTCGGATTTGTCCGCATTGGAAATGATTTAAGGGTTATTGGTCTGGCCACAGAGACGCAGAGCGAGAGCATGCGAGGTGGAAAGAATCCTTTGGCACTTTTTTTATTGCGTTTACAACTAGAATAACACATTACTCGGGTTCAGATTATTGTGGGTTTTAATTTTTGGAAAAAGAGGAAATACCGGAATAGATTAGGAAGGAAGACAAAACTTCTTCCATAGAAGAATGTGCATAGAAAATCAAAACACGTAGGAAAAGGTATTAAATTCATAAATTAACAGAGTTGCATATACAAAGTCAATATTCGAGGATCAATTGTGTTCCAATAGATTAGTAATAAATGTTAACAATGACGTTTTAAAGAAAGATGATTCATAGTAGCATACAAGATACCAGTTAATTAGGAATAAATTTAACCAGATGTTAACACTCCTACACAGAGAATTATGAGATATTTAAAAAAAAATTGAAGACCTAAATAAATGGAGAAATACTGCATTCATAGATTGCAAGACTCAATATTGGTAGCTGTTTTTTTTTTGAAAGTCAATTCAGTGGTGTCTAACTCTTTGGGACCCGGTGGACTGGGGCCTGCCAGGCCCCTCTGTCCATGGAATTCTGGTGTGGATAGCTGTTCCCTTCCCCATGGGATCTTCCCAACCCAGGGATCCAACACAGGTCTCCTGCATTGCAGATGGATTCTGTTACCAGCTGAGCCACCAGGGAAACCCAGGTATACTGGAGTGGATAGCCTATCCCTTCTCCAGCAGAACTTCCTGACCCAGGAATTGAACTGGGGTCTCCTGTATTGCAGGCAGATTCTTTACCAGCTGAGCTACAAGGGAGATTACCTCAAGTCAAGTGCTATTTGATTATATATTGAATTGTAAAAGGTAAAATAGCATTCTATAAGATAATATATATTGTCTTCATTACATAAAGTGAATTTTAGATGGAACAAAAAGGTCACCAACTGTAAAGAAAATAATTAAAAATATGGCTACATTAAATTCATAACTTGAGGACTTCTCTAACCAAAGACAACATTAAAGACAATGAAAAACAAGTCACAGATTGGGAGAAGATATTCAGTTCAGTTCAGTCGCTCAGTTGTGTCCGACTCTCTGCGACCCCATGAATCACAGCACGCCAGGCCTCCCTGTCCATCACCAACTCCCGGACTTTACTCAAACTCATGTCCATAGAGTCGGTGATGCCATCCAGCCATCACATCCTCTGTCATCCTCTTCTCCTCTGCCCCCAATCCCTCCCAGCATCAGGGTCTTTTCCAATGAGTCAACTCTTCGCATGAGGTGGCAAAAGTATTGGAGTTTCAACTTCAGCATCAGTCCTTCCAATGAACACCCAGGACTGATCTCCTTTAGGATGGACTGGTTAGATCTTCTTGCAGTCCAAGAGACTCTCAATAGTCTTCTCCAACACCACAGTTCAAAAGCATCAATTCTTCGGCACTCAGCTTTCTTCACCATCCAACTCTCACATCCATACATGACTACTAGAAAAACCATAGCCTTGACTAGATGGACCTTTGTTGGCAGAGTAGTGTCTCTGCTTTTAAATATGGTATCCAGGTTGGTCATAACTTTCCAGTAAAGTAATGCTCAAAATTCTCCAAGCCAGGTTTCAGCAATACATGAACGTGAACTCTTAGATGTTCAAGCTGGTTTTAGAAAAGGCAGAGGAACCAGAGATCAAATTGCAAACATCTGCTGGATCATCAAAAAAGCAAGAGAGTTCCAGAAAAACGTCTATTTCTGTTTTACTGACTATGCCAAAGCCTTTGACTGTGTGGGTCACAATAAACTATGGAAAATTCTGAAAGAGATGGGAATACCAGACCACCTGAGCTGTCTCTTGAGAAACCTGTATGCAGGTCAGGAAGCAGCAGTTAGAAATGGACATGGAACAACAGACTGGTTCCAAATCGGAGAAGGATACAAGGCTGTATATTGTTACCCTGCTTATTTAACTTATATGCAGAGTACATCATGAGAAACGCTGGGCTGGAAGAAGCACAAGCTGGAATCGAGATTGCCGGGAGAAATATCAATAACCTCAGGTATGCAGATGACACCACCCTTATGGCAGAAAGTGAAGAGGAACTAAAAAGCCTCTTGATGAAAGTGAAGGAGAAGAGTGAAAAAGGTGGCTTAAAGCTCAACATTCAGAAAACTAAGATCATGGCATCTGGTCGCATCACTTCATGGGAGAAAATATTACAATATGCAAAATTAAGAGCTCATATATAAAACATACCAAGAATAGATATCAATCACTAAGGAAATGTTTGACCACCATTAAGAAAAGTGGGTCAGATATCTGCAAAAGAAAATCAAAGTGTTCAACAAACTTGTATAAAGGTGTTCAACCTCATTTGTAATGAAGAAGATGAAAATTAAAATGAGGATTAGATACTCTTCTCAGGAGGAGGGCACAGCAACCCACTCCAGTATTCTTGTCTGGAGAATCTCTATGGATAGAGGAACTTGGCGGGCTACAGTTCATGGGGTCACAAGCAGTTGGACACCACTAAAGCTACTGAGCATGCATGCACATGATATTCTTCTACACCCATCAGAATCGCTAAAATTAAAAAGAGTGACAATGGAGGTAACAAGGAAGTAAAACTGATGAGACCATAGCCACCACCTTGGTTGCATCATGTGAGAGAATGGAGAGCCAGAGGCCCCAGCCAATGGAAACTGTCACAGTACTGCTGGGGACAGCATAACTTGGTTGAGCAACTTGGAAAACAGTTTTTGATCTAGCAATCCCACTCCACATACTTGTGCATCAAGATACATTTTATAAGAATGCTTTCAGCAATTAAATTCAAAATTACCCTAAGCTGGAAGCCAACCAAATACCCTTCAACAGTAGAGTGGGTAAATATATTGAGCTATATTTACTCAACAGAATGCTGCATAGTAATGAAAATAAAAAACTATAGCTCCTTGTAACAAGAAAAACATATCTCATAAACTTCAGCAAAAGAAGCCAGACTCCCCACTCCTTCCTCCCCAAGAATACTATGTAACTCCATTTACATAAGTTCCAACAGGCAAAATTAAACCATATTGTATAGAAATGTAAGCTTAAGTGATAAAATTATAAAGACCAATCATGGAAGTGATGACCATAATAGTCAGAATAATGTTACTTTGGGGAGGAGAGAAGGGGCAATGATTAGAAGCCAAGATGGAAGGAGAGTATCCAATACTTTTGTTCATTGTCTTGTTCTAGTTGTTGATTTTGTGATAATTCATTGAGCTGAACATGTCATTTTATGTACTTTTCTGAATACATATTTATCAATAAAAATGTTTTAAAATTTTAATGTAATGCAAAAATCTTTATTTCTACTGAAGAAATGGTTTATATTTCTTTTTTGTAATTTACTATTTTTGTTCTTCAGTTTGACTGACAGGAATCCTAGAACTAAATCTGAGGTACTATCAATTATGTAAAACATTGCGGCGAAATAGTTCTTCTCTTTTTCCTCAGTACTTTACTTTCTACTAATATTTCTGTTGCCATTTTTGCAGGAAAAGAGGGAGCCAGAGAACAGTCACATTCCTGGTCTCATCCCAGGTCTGGAGCACGTTCCTGGTATGGGCCAGTAAGTGAGTGTCCTTGACTTGGAGCAGGAAAGAATTCAAGAGCCAAAGTATTAATAAAGTGAAAGCAGGTTTATTTAGAGTTACACATTTCACTGGCAGAAACCAGATCATCTCAGCTAGATAATTTCACATGTTAATGAGTGGGAGGAGTATTCTAACTATTGGCGGGAGGAGGAGTGGATTTCCAGGAATTGGGCCACCACTCACTTTTTGGCCTTTTATGGTCAGCCTGGGATTTATCATGGCACTTGTCATGGCACTGGTGTCCTTTAGCTTGCCCATGTATTACAGTGAGTCTGTAATGAGGTTCAAGATCAACTGGAAGTCAGATCTTTCACCGTCTTGGGCCTAATCAGTTTTTGTAGTATTCTGTGTCATTCTTTGACAGTTCTGCCCCACTCCCTTACTTCCTGTCTCACCACAATTATTTGTAATCTACATATTTTAAAACCATTATTTAGTTTTATATTATTTATTTATATATAACTGGATATGACTGCTTGGGAGATCACATCTCTTAAAATTCAAACTAATTTCTTGAATCTCCAATTGTTTATAGTAATAGGACTATTTCAATTATTTTCTGGGGTCTCTCTTACCTCTCAACTGACCAAGAATTCCAGAAGCAAAATTTTAAAAACTCAAATGTCCATTATAATACTTTCTTAAATAAATGGCATCATAGCTATCTAAGACTAAATTTATCCTAAAAATACCTAACTCATACTGAGAAAATAGTTGAAGGTATTTGAAGAATTTAATAATGCCTATTGGAGCAATAACTATGTGGTAATTCTTTAAAGCATATTAATACTGAAAATAAAATAGCAATGAATAATTTCCCATAACTGTCCAAATTCTATAATGCCCAAGTAACTCTTATAAAAAGGAACAACTCAAGCTCAAAAAACAGACATATGTTCTTACCTTAGTAGCCCCAGGATGGCTATAATCTATAATCATTATGTGGTAGGAAACTATCATAAGTTTTAGTTTTAAAGTTACTTAATTCACACAATCTGTTCCAGTTCTAAATGTAGTTCAAAATAAATGTGTTTCCTGAATATAGCTCCAAGTGAATTATAGTACAACTAACCTCTGGATAAAATATTTTAATAAAAGGTAAATCTTGTA